TGTATGGGCTGCAGAACGACATCCGCACCCACAGCCCGACCCACACCCCCGCCCCAGAGGCCAAGCAGCCCACAGAAGAGGAACTGCAGGAACAGGTTAGACCAGCAGGGGGTGCTTCACTATTACAGACAGGGTCTTTAACAGTTTAAAGTCAGAACACCCAAACCTTAGTTTTTTATTTCTCACCCGTTAACAATTGTATTGTATTTACCTCCACCAATGTTTTCACACCTGTCACTTTGTTTATTACTGAACAAATGTCCATGACGTCTGGTGGAAAGATGCATTGTGGGTCAGGACGTGGATCCAGGAATTGTTTTTCACTTTCATTCTCACAATTTTCCCAGAGAATATTTCTTGGATCTTAATGGAAAAACAAAAGTCAGGCATCTTCACAGAACTGATAACTTTGAGTTTGTGCAATTTAGTGCAGCTTCATTGGATTTAAGGGATCTGTTGGGCCTCGGCAGTTTTATCTCACTACTTTTATTCAATTCTGATCTTTACACAACTGAGCAGATGTAGAACAGAATGTAGTCGAGTTCAATAACGGAAATATCTTGAAGATGTTTTTTAAATATTTACTATAACCAAAATGTCTTGTGTAGTCATGGAGACGGATGTTTGCTAATTGCTCCCTGCTTTGGTTGCAGATCACCTTTTGGCAATTGCAATTAGACCGGCATCGACTGAAAATGTCCAAAGTGGCGGAGAGGTGAGTGATGTTCTTTGTGTCTTTATTCAGTTTGGCCATCGATCTGTTTATCGAGCTGTTAAACTGCCCAACATGGCGTGGAATTAAGAGCCCTGGTGACCTTGAGGAGCGATTGGACTCCTGTCGATGCCTTCTGTGGGAGTTAATAGTGCAGACAATGCAAGACGCTGCATGGACAGCATGCAGAAATGTGTCATTTCCTTTACTGATAGAAAGGTGCTTTCAGCAGTGAGCTCTCTGTCCTGGTGCCCGAAGGTCATCAACTTTTTATTCCAGTTTTGTTCTCAAATGGATTTCATTTTTTTAGTTTTGCTGTTCAACGCTCATAAATAATTAAATCACTCACAGAGAGGTATGGAGCTTTAATTTCACCAGCTGTGATGACATATGTCTGACAGAGGTACAGAGTGATGTCATTAATATGCTCTCTGTTTCCTCACAGTTTACTGGGCTACACAGAGCAGTACGTCGAATACGACCCTTTCCTCACGCCTCCAGATCCGTCCAACCCCTGGATCTCAGATGACGCCACGCTCTGGGAGCTCGAAGCCAGGTGGGTGCACTAAACGTCTGTAAATGCATTTGGACAGACACAGAGGTCAGTTGATATGTATTTTACAGTTTCTGTGTTTCTCCAGTAAGGAGCCAGGCCAGCAGAGGGTAAAGAGGTGGGCCTTTGGCATCAACGAGGTCCTCAAAGATCCTGTGGGGAGGGAGCAGTTCCTCAAGTTCCTGGAGTCTGAATTCAGCTCAGAGAATCTGAGGTGCGAGCACACAAACACACAGAGAGAGAGAGAGAGAGAGAGAGAGAGAGAGAGAGAAGTTATTTTATTTTCTATATAAAGAAGTATATAAAGGATTACACACACACACACATATATATATACACACACACCATATGAGACGTTGCAGGTCTCCCTCTGTACTCGCCCACATGGTTCAAGTGGAATAAATAAACATGAGCTGCTTCTCTGATAATGAGAGACACGACCACTATCTCCCCTGAATGGGTTTTTACTGCTCTCATAATTACGGCTACGTTCTCATTCCAACTGCAGAGTGGAGGCTGACAACTATCACTGTTATGTTGTGTTGTATGTTACCGGGGTCGTTGCATCTTGTCATGTATAATGAAGAAACCTACGTAACTCTATGTAATAGAGTTTAATCGAAGCAGGGAGAGTGTGTTTGTGTTCAGGTTGGCAGGAATATTATGTTATTCATGGTGTAGCAGGAACACTGCAGTGAATTAAAGGTGCAGAGAAACCACCGGTGTGAAGGTTGGCTCCTCTGCTCCCTCCGATGGCACGTGCCTGCATTGTTTCTGCTCAATGTGGTGTGGTTAATCAAACTATAATTTAATATCTCAGTTAAGCTTTGATTAACTCTATCTTAATGTGTGTACCTCCGACATAGCATGGTGCTATTCATGGACACATGAACCCTATTAACCATAATATATATATATTGGTATATTTTAATTAAATTTGTATCTGTGTACAATTTAAAAAATGCCCCGAAGTCAAACATTGATCATTGTTCTTGGTGCAGTTACTGTTACAAATTATATATTTTTATCCTATGTGAAGTTTTTTTAAATGTATTATGTGTAAAATGCAAGGCAGTGCTCTTAATATATCATCAGGTGACAACATTCTGAAATAGTACCACTGTGGATCTCATCTTAGCTGTGAAGACTTCCCTTGACCAGAGCTGCTGTATTAAGATTCAACTAACTTTGGTCTGCAGGTTCTGGCTAGCAGTGCAGGAGCTAAAGAAACGTCCCATCAGAGAAGTTCCAACCCGGGTCCAGGAGATCTGGCAGGAGTTTCTGGCCCCCGGAGCGCCCAGTGCCATCAACGTGGACTCAAAGAGCTACGACAAAACCACCCAGAATGTCAAAGATCCTGGTCGCTATGCCTTCGAAGACGCACAGGTGAGTGTCAGTCAAAAAGCGAATTATACAAATACAAAAAAAGGAGTAGGAGTTTAAATACAGTACGTACAATTTTAAACATTTTCACCGCTCGCTATTCCTGAGTCCTCGCACGGAATATTACACAGATTTCTGTCCAGCACTGTTCTGTTTCTTGCATGTGACGCTTCAATACATCATTTTAATTGTATTTGTTTCTCTACAGGAACATATCTACAAGTTGATGAAGAGTGATTCTTACAGTCGTTTCATTCGTTCCAGTGCCTACCAGGAGTTATTACAGGCCAAGAAGAAGGTAAAGAAAACACAAATACTAATAGAGACACAAGATAAATGAGATGAAATGTAGACGAGTGCATGCAGATGACAGTCAGGGGTGGGACAGTGACTACAGGACATTAATAGAGTCTGCTGGAGGTGAGGATGATGGAGTATCTGATCAGGCCTCCCGTCGAGATCATAGGAACCGGTATGAATCGTACAGAATCTGCCGTAACACAAAGAATCGTTCAGCACAGCTGGATTCATGGGTCTGCTCTGTTTCACACCTCCTACACTTTCTCAGCTTGTGATTCTGGAAATAAAGAGATTTTATTTTTATCATGGGAAATTTTAAAAAGATAGAAACAGGCAAATCAACATCAGCATCAGCAGCATTTTGTTGTGAATGCAATGCACTGGAAGACAATCTTCATTATTTGCCAAAGTGTATTTGTGCTCTTTTGAATGGTTTAATAATGATGACAGTCGAAGTCTTTTCATTGAATCTTCTACCACAGTAAAATAACTTCACTTTTTATCCTCACAGAAAAGTAAGAACTTGTTCTGAAGGCTCTTGCTTCCAGGTAACGTCTAAAGCAAAATTCATTGGTTGCTGTAAATGAAATAAAGTCATAAATAAATGTTGCAGCTACAAAATAAATGCATTCATTCTCTCTCATTTCCATCTGTTCCACCCTCCTTTTTCTTACACCAGCGCAGGGGAAACCACTAGCGTCCAAGAGGCTGACCAGTCGTGTGCCATCATGCTAAAATCAATGCCATCCTTCTCTCTGGGACATGGGGAGGGGGACCATCCCATCTCTTCTTCTTCATCATTGTCTGTCCATCTGCTCTCGGCTCAGCTGGGCGACAAGTCGGGCCGTCTGTTCGTCTGTCGTCCACCGGATGTTGCATGTCCACGGAGAGGAAGCTCCTCCTTCTTTCTCCTCTTACAGTACCTGCTATATTTCCAGTATTCACACAGAGGAGGTACTACTGGACTTGTGAGGACACTGACAGACTGGCGAGGTGAAAAAAAACGTCATTGAGAAAAAAGAAAAAAATCCAGTGTTCCTGTTCTTTCCATTGTAACTGCTGGATTTGAGCCCCCTCTCTCACTTCCAGCTAAAACAAATGATGTCAGAGAGTAAAAAAATAAAATGACAGCTTCAACTGATAAATCTAACCAATGTCATTGCTTTACATGATCTGAGGTCACAGATACTTTGTCACGCTATGGGAAGTGTTGTGCAGAATGAATATACTATATATATATATATATAAATATATACATATAATATTATTACTATGATTATTTATTGTGCATTTATTTTACTTTGCATTATTTTATTGCACTACAATAACTAGCACATATGGTTTCCATTGCACTTGTAAAGTCACATTTAAAATGAAACAAAAATGCTGTCTCCTGTCTTATGTAGAACATAATTCTTTGTTATTCTCTCCTGCATTTATTTTTATACCATATTTAAAGACACTTTTAATTACTTGTATTATTAAAGTTGGCCCTCTATCTGTTACTATGCATGGATGTTATTTTTTACTCTCTGCAAACACAAAATGTCTCATTCTGGAGGGTTTTAACGTCACAATAAGACACCGAACAATGCACTGTTGTGTTCGACCAGCAGAGGGTGATACATTATTTCCTACAGCAGGGACGTGACTCCTTTAAACAAGCAGCTCCTCATCAGCGCAGATCAGCAGAATGCACCACAGTCATTTTCAGACAAATGAAGTTTTGTCGTGCAAACCCATCATCATCCTCTGCTTTGCTGAAGGGCTCATTGTTCTGACCGTTTTGCAGAGGCTGAGGTTTCGCAGGGTCTGTTGATGTTTCAGCTCTTTGATGGCACAGTGTGTCTGTGCCCAGTGGTCAGTGCACAGAAAGGGCCACAAAACAGACAAACATCTTTGTCTCAGTTGCATTACGGCGTTTTTCAAAGCATGTTGTTGCTGTGTCTGGCAAACAGTGATTTATGGATTGGGGATTATGGGGTTGTGATGTGATGTGGTTACAGTGTCAACGAGGGAGAGGGATTTACTGCAGGGTTTTTTATGAGGAGATCTTGTTTCTTTACTTAGTAGCAAAATGTCTCAAGCTACCTAAAAAGAACACAAACACAAACAAGTGTCAAACAGCAAAAAAAACAAAAAAAAGGAAAAGCTGTCAGTTTTGAATTTGTCGTGGATGGGTGGGAATTACCATAAAAGATGTAAAAATATCAATAGGCAGAGAGAGACACAGGGGGAGACAGACTTAAATGAAAAGACGTGAGGCTTGGTTTGATTCACACAATGACCAGGGCCAATAGGAAAAACCCTCCCAGTCTTGAGGAGGGAAGAGGAGGTGGTGGGGATTCAAACTAAGGCAGGGTTTACAGTGAGTCAAACACTCTGCAAAGACAGACTGTCTCCGCAGCGCTAAGATACAGGCTTACTGTGACTTCAACCTGGAGCTTCTCTCTTAAACCTGAGGACATGACTGAAACCAGGGAGTTAGACAGACACAGGAAGTGAGAGAGAGAGATACTAATTTTCCAGGGAGATGGAAAACTGATCGTGTGTCCAAGACTTTGAATCTTTAGTAGGTGGAAGAAGGGGGAAAAAAAAGAGAAGCAAGGACGAGCCGAGCCTGAGGATACTACAGATTATGTTGCCATGGAAACCCAAACTTGGAAGCGGGCTCAAGGACCAGTGAAGGTGGACGACCATCCTTGACTCCATCCTTGACACATTACTGCACACTGTGGTGAGAGGTACATAAACCATAGTTCATCCTTTATATTTTTTTTACAACTCTTTGTCAAAACGCTCTTTCAAAAGTTTTACATGTCAGAAAAACTTTCTATCGATGTTTTAAAATGTGAACTATTACAATAAATAGCATACACTACTTCCAAATTCATGTTTTATTCAAGGTAATAGAGTTTACAAATGGGAATATTCAGATTTAGACACTTGGTTGATTTTAATTCCTAACAAGATTTCAACATACGATGAAAAGATAATCTCATGATGCACATTCTTTGCAGTGCAGGTGATAAAACTGTGATTATATATGTCAGAGCATCATGTGCTGCTTGGAGTTAGTGAGAAAAGTGCAGCTGAGTGATCCCGGCGCTCCCACGTGAGTGTGAGACCGACTGACTCAGTGCGTCTCTGAGTGACTAAGCAGAACCATGTAATTTGAACAGCAGCAGTCGTGCAGCTATTTAGTTATTCCTGCTAACAACGAGGGTTTGATTCCCACTGGGGGCCACCCATAGCAAAAAAGGTGGTGCCTTTAAGGTACTGTAAGGTGTACAGGATAAAAGTGTCTCCTCAATGACTATAATTAGTGGCTGGAGGTTCCAGGGAATTAGTGTTGTGAGAAAGAGAATTAGTGAGTGATGACAGTATGTTGTACTGTGTGTCTCAGTAAGATTAAGTGTCAATTTAGTTTTCCCATTGACTATAAAAAACAAAAGTAAATATAAATATATATATTCAAATATATAGGGGAATTTTTCTCTCTGTTCATGTGTACAGGGGTATATCCATGTTTGTGTGTTCACTTTTGTATCATTAGTGTATTTGTGTGTATACTGATGTGTATCAGTGTGTGTATACATGTGAGTGAGTGAGTGTGCGTGCGGGTAATGGTAGAGAGTTTTCCTTCTGATCCTTCTTACAGCTCCGGCGACTGCACCACCTTGCACAGTCCGCTCTGATGTCAAAGAGGATTTAGCGCGTGGACACATTACGGTTTCTTTAGCAACAGAAAACACTTCATTGTAAGCCTCTAAAGATAGTAAAACAGGTATTTGATAGAAACCCTAACAGCATTCCTAAAACGTGTAGTTCACACATGAGTGAGCACCGAGAAAATCCAGCAGGATTAAAGTGGCAGAGAAACGCTGCACTTCATCCAGCTGTGGCAACTTTTTCAACCAATAAAGCGTTCTTAATTTTTTCTCTTTTGCTTGTGTGCAAAATATGGCTTTAAAGAAATGCATTTAAACTGTTTAACATGCTGTGGCCTGTCAGAGCGCCAGCCATTGCAAACTCACGCTGTGCAGCCAAACATTGTTCAAACCCGCAGAACTTTATTTTAGGCTCTAGTGGAGATCCGAAAGTTTCCAAAGACACTGAATAGATTTAAAATGATGCTCGGGACATGCAAAATATTTCAGTTTGATTGATGGCAAACTCATAAAATGCACAGTCTCGGTCTCGGCTATTTCACTCGTAAAAAATAATATAGCTTCAGTAGAGATCTGGAACAAGGCGATACACTCTATAAATGTGACAGTGTACCTCAGTGTGAAATAAGACCATATTAGCAATTTTAAAGATACTTAGGGGAAATCGTGAGTGAAAAAATTGAATGTTAACAGGATTAAATAAACTCAACTTTAAGTGCAAGTGGAAGCTGGTGTTAATCACTGCAGTTAAGAAGTGTCATCCTGATGCGGAAGGAGAAACCCTGCACTATCATATCATCTCTAATTGCACCTCATCCTCCACCAAAGCGCTTTGTGTTGCTGAGGTGAAGGAGTTGCCTCACACTCTTGCCACTGCTCGGCTTGTAAAGCATTATATCTGGGCTGCTAGTCATTATCAAGATGGATTGTGGTGACAAATGGCTGCCCAAAAGGCCCAAAGCAGCCTCCTGGCAATGTTGGCATTAAACACATTTGCACAGAAAAGCCCCCAAAAGGAGCCCCCACCAACTCCCCAACTGTTAATGAGCCAACAGCCAAGCGTATGGGAAAAAACAATCCGCAAATGCAGATAATGACATGGTTCCTCTTTGTGTAATTGGCTCCAAGTGAAAACATTTCATTTACCTCTCTTTCCCTCTGTATCCTGTGTGTGTGTGTGTGTGTGTGTGTGTGTGTGTGTGTGTGCGAGGTCATGTACGGGTGTGTGTGATTGTGTGTGCGCAGCTACTCGTGTGTGATTGAGGTTTGAGCTGCACGGTGAATTAAATGCAGTTCTACTGTAATTAACTGCGTTTACCAGTCTGTGTATGAGACTTTCTGACGCACCAATAATTGAGGCATCAGGTTTTGTTTGTTTTAACCTGCCTTTGAAGACATGCTCGGAGGATGTTTCACATGGTTTTAGCCGAAGTACATCTGTGTGTACAAATTTGAAAAACTTGACAGGGTTCTCGTCTCTTTCTTCAATTATTCAACAAGCAGATTTTAAAATACTCAAATATTTAGCAGCCGGGCTGAAGATTTTTACTGAAGAATTTTGTTTTTCATTTGACTTTGAGATTTAAAAAAATAAAGACCCATTATTACACAGACAGAAAACATTACCATGGCATTATAATGCCCTTCTGAAAAACAAAACATAACAAGTTCCCACTGATGATAATGGCTGTTTTCAAAAAGGCTTGTGTCTAGCTCAGCAGTCTCTCTGGTATTTGTAATTTCATTAGAGGTCTGAATTTTGGAACCAAGGTCTGCCACAGTTCAGTGAAGCGTAGCCCCAAGTATTTGTGGTTCTGGTAAAACATAAAGCTGTGTTTGTGGACAATATTAGTATTTAGCAGACAGAAAGGTCCGGTTTTAGTTCTGTCTCAGCATTAACACACAAAACCACAGTCTCCTTCCGTCTCCGGGACTCTGTGATGATTAGTGCTGTGTGTCGAGGAGAGACAGAAAGATAGAGTGACAGAGCGAGACAGATGGAAATAAGGAGACAAACAGCTTGTGGAAAGATATGCAGTGGTGGAGGGAGGGTATAAACTGTGCATGAAGCCCAAGCAAGACTGGTTTTGTTTCCCAGTAGGTCATTTGTCCCAAACCCCACCACCTTCACCCCCTTCTCCTTCTATCTTCCAACCTCAACCACTAACCTCCCACCCGTCCACCTCAGCACTCCCTCCGAAGCCCCCAAAGCCCTGCCCCAAAACCGCAATTTGTCTTGCTGCAGAGATTGATGAGGATAGCTTGGCAGGCCCGGCACTATCATACTTAGGCCCGAGTTTGGGAGTGGAGAGGGAGCACGGCTGCTGACTGTATGAGCCATCCGTCATGCCCTGTGTACACAGTCGCTTGGGTCATCCCTCCCAGAGTCCCAGAGGCTTTGCAGACCATAGCTCTTAGTTACGAAGTTACGGGGCGCCTCTTTAGGGCGATGGATGGTGGAAAACAGAGAACGAGACTCTGCACACAGAAGCTTAGCCTGTTCCTCTGACCGGGGGTTTATGCTTTTAAATACACAGTCAGCAGGACAGTGCAGCGAAAGACAAATGAGACTGTGTAGCACATGGAAGGTAGATCACTGGAAGATGGAGTGGGGTCATGACTCCCTGATGCTGTAGGTGGTGGAAGGACCCAGTGGGAGTCTTTGGTTTAGTTATTCTAACCTTATGATGGGTGTGGGCGTGTGCACTGGCTCGTGTGCGTGTGCTTACAGATCCGTCAACGAGAGACATGACTGTAAGTGTAGAACACCTACATCTGATTTCTTGGCAGATAACACGCAAAATCCAAAATACTTCCTTCCTGCACAGGTTTGATCTCTCAATGAAGAAAACAAAAAAACATAAGGAAGCGTTAACAGGGAAAGTAGATGTTCTGTGTCTGTCTAACTTCAGTGTGTCTCCTGATATCCTTGAGAAAAGGGCTGGTTAGAATTCATGCAACATTTCAGCTCGATGGACACACAGCTGCTGTCTAGCTCACTCTAACTGCTGCTGGGACAGTCATCTACAGGTTTAAGTGTTCGTGCAGCTCAGGCGAGCCTGCCATGACCTCGAGGTCAAGGACAGAGAAAAGGAGACAAGAAATTAGGTGGATTATGAAAAAGTTATTTGTTCCATGTCAGAGTGAGTTCCAGGCCCTGGAAAGAAAGAGGGAGTAGAAAGGGAACATACAAAATTTGCACAGCAAAGAAGAGTCTCTGAATATGAGCAGCCAGTGGCCTTGAGGCAGTTTGGTTCTCTGTCAGAATTTCTGACTTGATGTCATGCAACGCTTGTCGGGAGCAACATCTGCTGAAAAGATGCTTGAGTGATGATCAAAAATGTGCTGGCACAGATACTGACAGCGTGCACGCGGGCGGTTACTCCGTCCTGAATGGCAGAGAAATAATTTGCCTGGATCGTACTTTCATACATCTCTCTAACATGATACAGAAGACACCGTGGTGATTATGGACACAGGTCATTCTCAGTTCAGTTGGCTCCACACTATATCACCAAAGAGAAGAAGCGGTGACTCCCAAAGAGTACTGCAGAGTTCCCCAACTCTTCCCCTAATAACATACAGATGGGCCTCTCTAATGCCTGTTTACATATCTGCGGCATAGTTCATGACTAAAGTAAGCAAAGCCCTAATTATTTTACCCGGCGACGGGACCAATAAAATCAACTTCCCCTTCTCGTTATGGGTGTTTAAGTGTATCCTTTGATGGCAGGGATTTGTTTATTTTTGGAAGAGTTGCGTAGCCGAGAGGAAAGCAAATAGAAGTAATGACACAGAGATGCTGACAAATGGGGGCCCTGGTGATGGATTAATTCCCCCAATGATGCCTGGAAGGCTCGACTCCAAAGGTGGTTCGACGTGAACGCACATTCACACAACTGCAAACGCGATCGATGATAATATGTCAGCGGCTGTTGTGTAACATCACACTGCCTGAATTAGACCAAGTGTGTTAATAATTTTAAGATTCAATTAATGTGACAACACGTTTGACTCTGTTGGGACATGTAATACATCACAATGTATCTCTTTCTTTTTGTAGAATGCTGTGGAGAATAACTATCCCAGTCATACTGGCTGGTGTGCTCTGCATCACCGCCGAGACCAAAAAGCTTCGGCCCCAGGGATCCATCCCGTCCCCGCACAAGACCAAAGGGAACCTGTCCTCAGAACGTAACCACCGGCTACTGCAGCAGAAACCAGAGGTGTTATCCTCCAGCAGAGAGGCCTTGGTGGTGACAGAGCGCCGCTACCTCCGCAGAGACTGGTGCAAGACCCAACCCCTCCGCCAGACAGTCAGCGAGGACGGCTGCCGCAGTCGTACTGTGGTCAACCGTTTTTGCTACGGCCAGTGCAACTCCTTCTATATCCCCCGTCACATGGGCCCTAGCTCCAGTCAGAGCCAGAGCAGAGGCCAGGCCTCAGGGTCAGGAAGGAAAAAGCACAACAAGGCCCAGGAGCCGTTCCAGTCCTGCTCCTTCTGCAGGCCGCACCGCATCACACAGCTCACAGTGCAGCTGGACTGTCCGGACCTGCAGCCACCGTTCAGACACCGCAAGGTGCTACGGGTCAAACAGTGTCGCTGCATGTCTGTGGAAGTGAGCAGCCATGGGAAACTGTGAAGGAGGACTTCAAAGGTCTTTTAAAACCAAAGGGACATCTGAATATCGTCAAAAGGCAGATATTCAGAAACTTTGCCAAACAAAGACTGGCTTCAAGTTGAACTATTCTGCATCCTGTTGACAAATAATGGCCTGTCACACAATGAAATGACATAAAACATGGAACTGATATTATTAAACAAAGGCCAACATTGATTTAATCAGAGATGTTGGGGAGCTGATGCTGAGACTGATCCAAGTGGCTGTGTAAGAGACACTGAGGATGAAGCAGACTGAATGCTCCTCCTGTTATTTGACGAAACTCATATCTACCTGCTATTTGAACATTTGTTACTAGAACCCTTTGTGATAAAGTTGTGTTTGAAGCAGTGCTCAGCCAGTCATGACAATCAGTCATCCTGTGGAGACAGACACACATCGTTCACATCCACCTGCCATTTGTAGATTTGCTACAAGATTCTTTTGTGATAAAGAATGTGACTCTTGTTTCATGACACACTATGTGCACCGTCAGAGACCATGCTGATGATGAGTTGCCTAAAAGAAAATAAAGTGTACCCTGTGAACCCTTTAAGATATTTTTGTAAGATGACATGTTTTGGTCTGCAGTAATTACAGTTTAACAACAATATTTTTTAAATTAATTGTTTTAGAAGAATTGTATCTGCTCTTCTGTATCTTTTCCTTCACTCACATGATGTCACCGATGATGATACACAAGACAGGAAGTCAAGAAACATGAAGCAAAACAGCAATGACCAGTGGGATCTACGTGCTTGGACACGAGCCCGGCTGTATACTGTACTGTACTCGCCACTCACCAGCATGAAAACATAGAACAGCATGTGTAATCGGGGTGCAATGCAATATATACAGTATATATGTTTTATGTATGTGTGTAAGTATGTATGTAAAAAATATATTAAATCTATTTCATATAAAACAGCGGTGAATACATCTAGTTCTGAGTTACACAAGTGACAAAGAAAAGAGTAACAGCAAAATTTATATCCAAAATTAATGTAATTTCTTTTATTCAATAAATATTTTTTCATGGTCAAGGGTTTTCAATCAAAACATGTTGTTGGCATATTGTAAAAGAACGTCACATCACATGATAATGTTGCTCAATTAGCATACAGTCGGAAAGGCAAAATGAATGCATAGACTTAAAACACATAGCAAGTCGACAACAGCACTGAATAAAACAATATGAGATGACACCACTTAGGTATTTTTTGTTGAAAAACATTTAACCACAATAGATGAGGTGCTGCATGTTAAACTAGTTCTGAAACACACTTCAAGAAATGATTAAGAAAAGCAAATGTCAGGTGTCAGCCTGTAAAAAACAGATATTTCTTCTTTGCGTTGAACATTTAATCACAGATGATGTGTCTTAAAAATAAACTCTGGTCTACAGCACTCATATGACCACTGTTGTGCAATAAGGCACTTTCTGTCCAACATATAGAAAGGTTGTAAAACTCTGTGCTTCTACCGCTAAGGTAAGAATTAAGAGACAGGGTTTGTGTCTCCTTAAGATAGTCGGCTTTGACGTTGGACTAAAAATGAAAAATAAACTGCATATGGCTTTTAAATACTGAGAGTAGTGTTCCTACAAATTATCTGATGCACATTTTCTTTTAAATGACTCAGTTTCATTTAATCTCATCTTAATGGTGACTTTGCAGCATTTCTGGTTAGTGTCATCAAAAGCTGGCTGAGAATGAAATGTTTTGATTCCACTTTTAAACAAACAATATAATATCCACTTTGAACCAACTTAAAATAAAAACAGCTCTAAATCAATTGAAAACAAATACGGGAAGCATATAAATATAAAAATGACTGATGACTCATGTCAGATTGTACAAACAGTGCTTGTGCAACAGGCTTGATGATGATCATTTTCCACTTTCTGCTTCAGATCTTCTGACCCAGCTTTGCTTTCTGTAGAATAAAATAAGAGGTCAGAGTTATTTACAACTGGCAGCTCTAGCACTCATCTCAACTAGTTGCTGCTGGAGCCAGGACTGTCGATCACTATGAACACCCGAGGTGAGGAAATATGCACCAAGTGAAGAAAAAGGGATGATGCCACTGGAATTAAATTAAAAGAAGCACTGAGTGATAAAAAGAGCAGAAACGTACTATTCCAGTTGCATGTTTGGGTTTCACATTGTAGGCAGCCTTCTCTCTGGCCTGTTTGAAACAGTCCTCAGCCATTTTGACCCTGAAAAAAAAACCCAGCAATAAATATCATTCATCCTAAAGAGGATTAAAGAGCAAATGGTTGGATGCACTCACACCCATGCACACTGCTGGAATTCTTAGTTTAACCATTTAAAAAGAAAGTCTGCGCAAAAATATTGTCTTGGCTCATCCAGACGATGGTCATGTGGTATTTGGACACGATGCTCTCGGTTTGTCAAAGGGCCAAAGCTCCGACTCTGAAGTGACTCACTCCAGTTTACTACTGCAGGGAGCGAGCCAGCAGCGTCACTCATTGGAGCTTTAAACAGACAAATCAGCAGCATGTTGGCAATGAGCAAGTACAACAATTTACATTGACAGACTTGCATCTTGCCTTTACTCATCACATGGATACTCTGAGTGCCAGCACTACATGTCCATAAAGTGCAATGATAACAATAAATTATATCTATAGTTCCTCTGCAGTCCAAAAGAAAAAAAACAGCAGGAGTATGTTGGGATGATTGCCGATGGCAAAGGGCAAAGAGTTAATGTTTTCAAATTTGTTTTTATACTTCCCTACTGTACAAGCAAAGCTTGTGACATTTCCCTTCTCTCACAAATACATATCACAGTTCAATCTTCATTTGACATAATGGACCAATTTGCTTTTTGTTGACATATGCAGCAGTATCTTTATATTCATCAAACCACTGGAAGCTAACTGGATGCTCCAAGTGTTTTTTTCATTACTGGGGTGAGGACATAGATTCGGGTCATTTAACCTCTTTTCCCTTCATGAATTTGGATGAATCTGATAGGATCTTCTGCGAACACGAGATGGACTGCAAGTTATTAATGGTTTGGAAACTTGCGCTTGGGGAGAATTCGAAATGTAGGGAACATTGATGTTTCTGTAATGACATTGCAAGGGTCAGAGTGTGGTGTACCTCTCCCGAAGAAAGACAAATAAATGACAAGTCCCTGGTGTCTCTGAAGGGTTTGATTTTGGGCCGATAGTTTCAAGTGTCCTGTCAGAAGAAGGTATCTCATGTCACATTCCAAAAAACAGTAAACCACTCTCACCGTTCCTGTAACATCAGTTTATTCTGCTTTTTCCACTGGTCTTTGAAATCAGTGGAGAACTCGTGCCAAATGGAGAAGAGAGTGTTGGGAGAGACCTCTTTCTCTCCTGCCTTGGGTTTGACTGAGAAGGACATGCTCAGCTCCAAGAAGCTGAGGGCAGGGAACAAAAACATTACTTCAAGACCAAACTATTACAACATGAGATTACAGAAACATACAACCGATTGTTGTGAAATCTGGCTGTGCTACGCAAATATGCAAAATATGAAAGTTAATCTTGGAATAATATGCTTTTTTAGAGAATTAATGGTAAAGGAAAAGAAAACACAACCCAATGATGACTGTGCATTTCAGAGGAGAACCGTGAGGGAAACAAATGCAACTACTGACACAGAAACAGCACAGTCATTCAGTGTTTTCAGTGGGATTAACGTCGAGGCCTAAAATAAAACTCTTAGAAATATCATGCACAGGGTTTAGCTTTGTCACCAAGCTCCCTGACGTACATAATCTTCAATGTGCATGTGTGTGCATAAACACAAACATACTGTAGAAGCATGAGTGAGAAGAAAAGATGCACAACTTGCACACAAAGGCAGATCAAGCAAAATAAACACATGACGGGGGGATGACATGTGTAAAGAGTGAATGTGGATGCCGTTCGCAGTGGATCAATACAGTGGACAGGTTGGGGTCTCTTTGTTTGGAGTGTGCTATAGGAACACATTCCTAGCCAGCAGTAACAGAAGCCTGGAGCCAAGGCTGTCTACTCTCGCTCCGCTTAGATAAACAACACAGACACCGCACAGGGGGCCTCCCGTCTACTGATGGCCTGGCATGACGGCCCGCACCTTCCGTGTAACTGTAGGAACCAGGAGTCCTAAATATTGACAAAGCAGCGAGATTATATTTCTTCACTGCAGTGAGAATACATGCGTTGGATTTTGTTATTCTGCGTTTTCAATTTCAAATTCAGGACTGATCACTGGTGCCACGTTTGAGAGAAAGAGCAAAATGTGACGGAAACAGAAGTGACTGCGTTTACTCTTCAGCTGCAGGGGAACATTTAAAAAAAAAAAGTTCTTACATCTTCTGAGTGTCGGCCAGCTGCGTCTCCTGAGTTTCCAGTTCAGTTTTGGCTGTGAAGTAAATTAAAAGGTTGAAAAAAGAACAGCAGTGCATTAGTACATAAAGAATTATAACATTCACCGGAGAGGATCCATCTTTCACCTGCAGGAGGATTCCACATGTCACCATTACTTAAACCCAACTGTCTTTCCAAGGTCAGTGTTGTGCCACCAGGTTATTAAGTGTTGAACTGTCCAGTGTTGCACAACTGACAAATGAGTACTGCAGACCTCGGGACAAGTGCTTCTTTGTGCGGGGTTACTTCGAATGGAGACAGATGACTGTGTGTGTGTGTGTGAGCAAGTGAGTGAGTGAGATGTGTGAGTTACAGAGAGAAGGTAAGAAAACTAGGAGTTGGACACGACGGTACCCATTAGTAGATATTTCCAGCAGGCCGCAACATTTATCTCGATGTGCCATCAGGCCCCTTTTGACTGTGTTATAAATTATGATATAGGAGAACTGCAGTGAAATGTGACAGCCTCAGTCAGGAAATTCCCACAGGTTCCTAGTTATCAAATTTCAGAATCTAGGGGGCTGATTTTTAATATACAAAAGAGCTGTAGTGGAGTCAACCCAGCTGTATTCTATGCCGGCCTGTATCTACACTGCACTGATGGACAAAAGGTTGGGCAATAAATTCTCCCACACAGCTTCTCTGTCCCCCGTAAGCCACTTTTGGCTTAAACTGTCAAATGACCAGAAATGGCCTCGTCGTAGCTTTTCCAAGACACACATGACATTAGATGGGACGGAGAGTCTTTCCTGGCACCGATCTGTGTTCTCCGCTCTCATGTTGGGAATATCTGGTTGCTACGTGTAATTGAAGCCAGAGCCACATCTAAAGATCCCAGACAAACCCGCTGAGAGCAGCACTACGCTTTACCATTCCACCGTGCTAAATCACTCTGTGGCCCACAATCACATCCTTCTCTCTGCTGACGGCTCATCAATAAATGATGAAATATCTATAAATAATATGAATGTGACTTGCTAAAAGCATCTTAATATCAGGAGTGTGTTCCAGTCCAGCAAAGATGATTTAAGATGCAACTTCCTGTTACACTGACCTGCAAGATGCTGTTGTGATGTGAAATCTGTTCCTAGAAACATTGAATATCAATTAAGGGAAACTCTGACATACTTAAAAAAAGCTTCCTCTGACACTGAGTGATTCATGGAGTTTATCTAATAGATGAGTGCGGAGCCTTTTGTAGACCTTCCTGTTTGGAATGGGCTGCTCTCTTGTCCTGTGTTAATGCTCCGGCGCTTCTTCAGAATGATTCCTCCTTAAACAGCTTTAAATTATAAAGTGACTATTTATTGTTTGTGTGCAAACTTTTTTTATACAGTCTATGGTGCAGAGTGAAGTTTGTGGTCATCCTACCTGGTTTATCTGCAAGGTTATTCATAGAGTGAAACATAATTTGCATTCTTATTGTTCATGTTTTTTATACAAAGACTGACTAAATGAGAGTTATTTCTCTATACATTGAATGTCGGTGAATGTCTGTAAAGCAACACGACACAATCTTCAGACCAAA